CCTGCCCATACATACATATTCATGCACAGACACACATACACACATACGCGCACACACAGCACACCTGCACACACATAACTGGGGCCTTGGGGGTTGGGGGATGTGGGGGCGGATGGCTTAGAGGGCTTCCGGGTAGGTTTGGGGACTGGTGCTGCACACTGTGTCCGATTTTGGATTCAACGCGGGTTCCGCATTGAATTATTCAACGTGCGTTCAATTCGCGTTGAATCCCTGTTTAAACGCCCAACGGGGAAAAACGAGGTCCGCAATGATTTTTTTCCTGGGCTAAACATAATCCGAAAAAAAAAAAATGGGGCAGTAGATCTTTTCGAGGTCTAAAACCCCATATTTTTATTTTTATTTTTTTAGCTTTGAATATATTTAAAAAAAATCAAAAACATAAGCACAATGAAAAAAAAAAAAAAAACAAGAAATGACATGAGTTTTTTTTTGGGGGGGTTCACAGAGATTTTTTAAGGGCTAAAACAAAAACACAAAAAAAAATACAAACTATAGGGTTGTAGATCTTTCAAAGAAACAGCATTTTTATTTTTATTTTTTTTTAACTTCGTGTATTTTTAAAAAAAACAAAACCATAAACAACATATTTTTTGGCCTGCATTGCTTAGGTAATCCTGCTGGGTAGACTCCCTGATTTGGGCCTGCAGAAGATTGCACGAGCCTGGCGTCCGAGAGGTCCCGTACGGCAAGGTTTGTCCGCTTACGCTTAAATTAGGGCTGGGAGGTTGGCCCAGCCCTGATGCTTGTCACTGCCGTCTGGTCCAAGTTGCCCTCAATACTGGTAGGGTGATGGTCCTGAGTGCTGGTCACACTGAGGTAGGATAGTCGGGGCAGGGGGTGTGCTGAGAGTATTAACGTGGGGATGGGTAGGGTAGGTGGCCTGATCCTGTCAGGACAACCATTGGCTGCTTCTACCAGCAATCACCGCGGGTCTGGTCCTTGGCCTCTACAACAACCTGGTCTTATACACATCTAGATGTGTATATTGTCATAGTTCTTTCCTGAATTGTATGTCTA